AGGTAGTCTTTACAAGATTATTGCTAAAGTCCTTTCTCTCAGACTCAAGGAGGTCCTCCCTTTATTTCCCTAGAGCAAGGAGCATTCATTAATGGCAAGCAGATMACTGATCCAATCTTAATTGCAAATGAGTGTGTTTAGGACCTGAAAAGGACAAAGAAAAAAGGCTGGGTGTGCAAACTAGATTTGAAGCCTATGATAGGGTGGGTTGGAGTTTTTTAGAGGAGGTACTAAGGATTGATGAGAGGTGAAGAAAATGGATTAAGGTACTAAGGATTGATGAGAGGTGAAGAAAATGGATTAAGGGATGCTTATAGTTGTGTAATTCCTCAATCCTAATGAACATAGTGCTTAAAAATTTCTTTCTAGCCAAGAAGGGCTTTAGGCAAGGTGACCCTCTCCCACCCTTCCTCTTTATACAAACAATAGATGTTTTGAGCAGACTTCTCTCTAGAGCTGATGATAGAGGTCTATTAAAAGGACCTTGGGTGGGGAGGAAGTGATGGCCTTGCATTTGTTATTTATGGATTGAAATATTGTTTTCTATGGGACTAGTGATGAATATGCTGTGAGTCATTTACTATTGCTAGTACAATGCTTTGGAATAATTTCCAACCTCAAAGTTATCCTCTCCAAAAGTTGTTTAGTGGGTATTAATCTAGATCAGGGAGTGGTAGAGTGTTTTGCTTCTTAGGGTGTGTGGTTTCCTTGTGGCCTTTGTGTTACTTATAGGTTATCTTTAGGAGGCAATCCCAAGTCACATAACTTTTGGAATCCTGTAGTGTATATAAATTTACCAAAAAGTTGGATTCTTGGAAAAGGAACTATATCGCTTTAGAAGGGAGATTCACCCGAATTAGGTCCACTCTTGCCATTTTGCCCTTCACTTCCTTCCCTATTCAAGATCCTAGCTGTAGTAGCAAAGAGATTCGAGAAGATCATGAAGAGCATTTTTGGGAAGCTAGGAGAATCYTGAAAGATATACCTTATAGACTTGAGAATGGTGTGTACAAGAAAGAACAATGGAGATCTAGAGGTGGGTGAAATTGTGAGGAGGAATTTGTCTGTTATGGGTAAGTGGCTATGGAGATTCTTCCTCAAGATGAAGACAAACTAGAATCAGAGATTCTCCCTCRCTGCCAGTTATGACTATGTCATCCACATAAAGCACTAGCAAAATCTTTTCGGCTTTAGAATCATAGCTAAACATTGAGTGGTCAACTTGACATTGTCTCATTCCGTACTCTTTCACT